AAAAATGGAATGAATTATGAATAATGGTGTAGGAGGCTGAATATGGCCTTATAATTCTTTATTCCTCTTTGCCAAGATGGATTTTCAGAAATGAAAGTATTTCAAAGAGAGGATCAACGTTTGAATGAAAATATCCATATGCTTGCAATCTCTTTTAAATAACTCGCATCTTTGATAAAAACATTGATAAGTCATTTTTTTTTTTAATAAAATACAAAATCGCTTTTAAATCACTTGTCCTTGTTTTAATTAATGTCAATTGATGAGTTGGACTTGATTGAAACACCTTTTCTTTAATTTTTAAATTGATTTCTCTTCATTCACAACAAATAAGTTTCCACACTTAAACTTCTAAATAAAATCGAACACTTATAATTTGACACAATCGAATAGTTATTGTTTTCCTCCTCAGATTATCATTCACTGCAGAAAAAAAGTGTGAACAGAAATATGGACATTACCTATTGCTAGACTGATTAACATCTGAAATCTAAAGTTTAATGAATACATTTTCTATTGTTTTCATACTTAGAATATCATTCAGTACAGAAAATAGTATGAAAAGAAATACGAACACTTAATATGGACAGTAACTTTTAAAATTAAATTGAAAACCACAGTAGAATTAGAAAATATTCTAAAAACGATACAGTTATGATATTCATACTACCAAATTATCAGTATATTCATATACAAAATAAACCTATAATCTCACAGCTGATCACACACATTTCATTATAGCAATTCCAGTCTATAAAAGAAAACATATCATAACAGACTAACTAAACTCTACTGGTGAAAATATGTGTATAGCACTACAACAGTTCCTAACCCAGTAATGGAGCTCTTTAGTACATTACTAATAATGAAAATAATCATTATCTTTAGAAAGAACTACCTGAACGAGTTCTCTTTGCAGAACCTGGAGGTAAAGCTGAAGTTTAATTTATAAGTGAAGCTTCTGATCCATTTGTTGGGTTAAATGCAGTTGTTTTATTACTTTGTTTTTCATTACCCAGAGATTCTTCTGACGGTTTATCATTTGTACGTAAAGTTTTAGCGAAGATGTAGTGATACCTGCAATAGAGGTAGTGATAGATGCAATAGCAAGGCAGTTGTGTAATATTTTTCTTTTCTCTCTGTGACTCTGTGGGGGTCCAGTTAGAATCAGGGTTCTAATGGTTGTCTGATTCTGTCTACCGTGAGACCTACATGAGTACAAATCTCTAATTCCTTTGTTACAAAATTCCACGAACTATTCGGTGATCAACTAGACTGGACTATGAGAAATTAATCTAATTTTCTCATACCCTCACCTATTTTTTGCATGCCCTTAACCAAAAATTCTCTTGGCTCTTTGTCAAGGATGAGTTTCGGTTACAGTAGTGATGTTTTTATAACGAGAAAAGGAAACCAGTTTACTTACGAGCCACTGTAGCTGTTTGCAAGGTAGGTGCGGTCTTTCTTTAAGCCCGTTTGATTGTGGGTGTACGAAGACCAACTTGCATAGTTACATCATCATCATCATCATCATAGCATAGTTAATTCCGGAATAATTCGCTTGTAAACTGTGCTCCTCTGTCGGTGACAACATGAATTGATACTCAGAATCTTGTGATCCAACAATTGAGAATGGAGGTAATAACAGTACTTGCAGATATGTCAGTGGTATGAGTAGCTTCAGTCCACTTTGTAGCGCGGTCAATACAAGTCAAAATGTACCTTGCCTGATGCGGGTCAGGGAGATAATTTCAGCTTTTTCTCAGGGGGTGGGGTAAGGTTGGCGAGTGAATAGAACACTATCAGTTTCTTGGGCACTACGAGACCCCTAAAAAAAATAATAATAAATAAATAATAATAATAATAATAATAATAATAATAAAACGAAAAGCAAAATGAGATGTTCTTAAAAAAATAAAATAAATAAGCTGCGGCCAGAGATATAAAGGTGTAATTTAGGGAGAAAAAATTGAGAATGTGGCCCTTGGGGGTGGGAGGGAAGCCAGACATTTAGGGGTCATTTTGACGTCCCTGATGTGGGTAAGCGCTATTATTTAGGGTTAATGGTGACAGTGGACCCGTTATGTCAATATGCACAAATCAACGTGCAAAGTGCATTACTCCTGCTTTTGTGTGTCTTTCACGATTTTGACATTCTTATCGATATTTAGCCCAAATTACATTACTTCTGTTTTTGTGTGTCTAATTACCTTACTCTATTACGATTGTCACATTCGATAGGCCAACTTCGTACTAACTTATCGACATGTCGCCCAAAATACAATGGTTTATTTCATCAAAAATCCTTCTACCCGAGTCCTTGGGCACGTATGGTCGGGGTAGATTAATCACAGAATAATTATAGAATCCTTTGCTACATTTTCTTCTTCGAGTATGATCAAAGAAAACGTAATAATCTTCAGCGTTCATTGACATGTAAGACTTTTTGTGGACTCAAAATCCTCACCTGTTGGTAAACTATACACTATTGAGACAATGT